GAGAAAGACTAACCTAAGAGCTGTAGTCTTGCTCACCGCCTTTAGCAAACACCCCTCCAGTCTCTGTAGTGGGTACAGTAGTGATATTTTGCTTCTGACTAGTTCTCAAGGACAGTTCTGAGTGTCAGATTGTTTGCTAAGAACTTCCATGACTTGTTCTCTTATTCTGCTTATTCCTTCTTCAGTCAGTGAATCAGTTCAGTTGCTCAGCCATGTCCAACTCTTTGCAACCCCATGGACTGCAGCACGCCAGGTTCATCACCAGTTCCTGGAGTTTACTCAAACTCATGTTCATTGAGTTGGTGATGCCATCCGACCGTCTCATCCTCTGTCGTCCCCTTCTCCTCCTGCCTTCTAACTCGACTATTATATCTTCATACGAATTCATCATTGTTTTGTTGTTGGATTCACAATTTTTACCCCTGGAAATTTGTATTTTAGTTTTCCCCATAAGATTCACAATATTTCTAGTATTTTCTCACTTACTGATACCTCAGTCTTTTTTCAGCAGTCCCATATTTGTTTGTTTACAGCTTGTGTACTTTTCCCCACAATAAAAATCACTTTTAACTTTTGTTCTTAAAATCTATCCTGTTATAGGTGGAACGAAGTTTGTCCATTTGAATTGAATAGTCTGCTGCATTTAATTTCAACTTCTGTGGTAGAGTTGTCTAATTTATAGCCTGATATTCCCTTTCACTATTTTGGCAAATATTTGAGGCATTTGAATTTTTTTCTAGTCTTCCTTTTTTGCACTTCATATGGAAATGTATCTTCTTTATTTACAAATTTTGGACTAGCTCCTATAATGACGGTATATAGAAGAATAGAGCTTGGAATAGTCTTCCTGATTTTTACGACTTTAGACGAGTTGTTTATTTTGGTGGCTCAGTGGTAAACAATCCGTGTGCTAATGCAGGAGACGTGGCTTCATTCCCTGGAGGAGGAAGTGGGAACCCACTCCAGTATTCTTGCTTGGAAAATCCCATGAACAGAGAGAGGAGCCTGGCAGTCTATTGTCCATGATGTCACAAAAGAGTCGGACATGACTCAGTGACTGAATATCAACAAAGGTATTTGCTTTCATCCCCAGCAGTCGTGCTATAAGGGTCAAATGAGGGAGAGCAAGATTTTCAGTCCTAGTTATATACCATGAATTATGAACCTTTAAAAATACAGTTTTAAAGGTATTTCTTTTCATTTTGAAGTCCATAAGGATAGTTTAATTCAGAATAAAATTTCTTAGAGAACCAAAGTGATACTGATCATTTCACTAGAGACCTTTTCCAGAAGATTGTTTCCCTGTATAGTTTGAGAAAACTGAGAAATGGCATGACTTCTTTAAGGAGATGTTATCCAAATACACTTTCCCACTGGAATCTTAGTCTCACACAGTTGTAACCAAGACTTCCCTGTAGGTTAATATTGAATCAAATTACAGCTAAAAATAAATAAATTTAGAGCTCAGGGGGACATTTAGACATTTCTAGATAGAAACTGACCACTATGAGTGAAATAAATATGTTCACCTGAAAAAAATATATACTTTATCCCACCAAAAAGTTTAATTTGTCGAGGATAGGGTCTGGCTGTTATTATCCAGGGATCTTAACCATGTAGTCCACTCAGAACCACTGAGGTAAGGTGTGTGGAAGCATTTTGAGGTCCAGATTATTAGTAGGAGTGTAAGATGTGACACAGGACTGTGTTGTTGTGATATAGTTGGAGTGAATAGAAGTAGCTTTCTGTTAGAAGAATATAAACTTCCTGGAGTACCATGAATTTCTGCTGATGTAATTTTAGTAAGTTGACCCCTTGTTCATTTAGTCTATTAAGATCCAGGTGATATAGTACCTGTCTTACTTTGAGCCTGTTTTCTTGGATTCTTTGGGCTCATTCACATTCACCTTCTTTGGGCAGAGTAAAACTTTGCATATAATGCTATTCTTCTGAGCTTCGCAACTACTATTGTATAAGAAGTTCAGTGTCTACCCTGTCTTAATTACTGAGTCACATGTGACTCTTCACAACTTCATGGACTGTAGCCTGCCAGGGTGCTCTGCCATAGGGTTTCCCCAGGCAAGAATACTGGAGTGGTTGCCATGCCCTCTTCCCGACCCAGGAATAGAACCCATGTCTCTTGCATCTCCTGAGTTTCTAGGTGGATTCTTTAGCAGTGAACCACCTGGGAAGCCACCTGGTGCTTATACATTTATGTAAAAGCGTGAGCCAGTGCACTCTGAACGATGAGCAGCATGGTGGTAGTGGGGCCTGCATGTATCTGCTATGTCAAGAATACGTTTTATCAGACTACCTCAGAGTAGATCATATCCCCTTGACATTACATCCTACGATGTGCTATTCTTGGAACCCAAACAGCGTTCTTGGCCTAAGAGTATAAACACAGGAGTCACAAAATGAGTGGGATATTCTGAAGATTTTATATTTTAGTGGAAGAACGTATCTCCCCAGAATGATAATATGAGTACATTTTCCTCTTGGAACTTTCACAGATGAACCACTCACAGCTTACTAAGATAAAAACGAGATATTGAAAGTCTGAAAGGTTTTATGTCTGTTTAAAAAATGAATTTGTAATGAAATACTTTCTCATATAGAGCCATTGGACCCAGATAGCTTCACTGGTGAATTCTTACAAAATTTAAAAGAAAGAATAACACCACTTTCTTCTAGAGGCTAGAAAAAGAGTGAATACATCCCAAGTGTTGGGAAACAGTTCTGAGTGCCCGTTATAGCTGGTTCCAAGTGTTTGAGAGCTCCTGGAATTCTTATGCTTTGCTGGTGAGAGTATAAATTGACCAGAACAACTTTGTGAAATTGTTCAGCTGTCTATTAGATATCAACAGAGATATAACGTGCAACTCAACAATCCCATTCTTCATAAATGGATTTGTAAGTGGACCAAAAGATTTTGAAAGAGTGTTCATTATAGCATTATTCATTCAGTTCAGTTCAGTCACTCAGTCATGTCCGACTCTTTGTGACCCATGGACTGCAGCACTCCAGGCCTCCCTGTCCATCACCAACTCCTGGAGTTTACTCAGACTCATATCCATTGAGTCGGTGATGCCATCCAGCCATCTCATCCTCTGTCGTCCCCTTCTCCTTTCACCTTCAGTCTTTCCCAGCATCAGGGTCTTTTCAAATGAGTCAGTTCTTCGCATCAGGTGGCCAAAGTTTTGGAGTTTCAGCTTCAACATCAGTCCTTCCAATGAACACCCAGGACTGATCTCCTTTAGGATGGACTGGTTGGACCTCCTTGCAATCCAAGGGACTCTCAAGAGTCATTGATATTTCTCCTGGCAGTGTTGATTCCAGCTTGTGCTTCCTCCAGCCCAGCATTTCTCATGATGTACTCTGCATGTAAGTTAAATGAGCAGGGTGACAATAGACAGCCTTGACGTACTCCTTTTCCTACTTGGAACCAGTCTGTTGTTCCATGTCCAGTTCTAACTGTTGCTGCTTGACTTGCATACAGATTTCTCAAGAGGCAGCTCAGGTGGTCTGGTACTCCCATCTCTTTCAGAATTTTCCACAGTTTATTGTGATCCACACAGTCAAAGGCTTTGGCATAATCAGTAAAGCAGAAATAGGTGTTTTACTGGAACTCTCTTGCTTTTTCAGTGGCAATTTGATCTCTGGTTCCTCTGCCTTTTCTAAATCCAGCTTGAACGTCTGGAAGTTCATGGTTCACATATTGTTTAAGCCTGGCTTGGAGAATTTTGACCATTATTTTACTAGCGTGTGAGATGAGTGCAATTGTGTGTAGTTTGAGCATTCTTTGGCATTGCCTTTCTTTAGCATTCTTCATAATAGCCTCTATTTGGAAATAACTGAAGTAATCAATGGAAGATGGATACCGAAATGGTGATGTACTCATACATTGAAATATTATACAGCAGTAACAAAGAACCAGCTCCTGCCATATGTACATAGCCGTGTGGCTAAATATCAGAAGGAAAATATCCAGTGAAAGAAGCCAGTGAAATAGTTTATGATTCTATTTATATAAAATTCAGACATCAGCACAGCTTACCAAAGGTGATAGATTTTGGAGGAGCAGTTAGTTTGTGAGGGTGTAAATGAATGGGAAGGAACACAGGGGAGCTTCTTGGGTGGCTGCAGGGGTATGTTCATATCATAAACATTTGTCAAGCTCTGCATCTATAATCTGTGCCCTTAATGTTAAAGTGTTAGTTGCTCAGTTGTGTCCGACTCTTTGTGACCCCATGGACTGTAGCCCGCCAGACTCCTCTATCCATGGGTTTTCCCAGGCAAGGATACTGGAGTGGGTTGCCATTTCCTTCTCTAGGTGATCTTCATGTCCAAGGGATAGAACCTGGGTCTCCTGGATCACAGGCAGGTTCTTTACCACCTGAGCCACCAGGGAAGACCCTTTTATGTACATTATACAATTGCATATTAAAATCAACCACTTAGAGGAAAGATGATGATTAAACCACTTTAAGGGAGACACTGATAAGTAGAAAATTAAATCTTACATTTATATGCTCTCAATAGATTTAAGATAAGATGGTAAGTGAAGTGCAGTTCTAACCTCTTGCAACTTTGATCTGCTCGGTTGATTTATATATCCGTGACTGAAAGAAGAAGCTTCTTTTTCCTTCAAGGAAAGGAACAAATAATTCATTTAGTAGTAGTAGCCTATGGAAAATTCATAAAGAAGTATTAATAACCTATTCATCTCTATTTCATTTTTTAAAGTTGACATCTATTTAATAAAATAAATTTGTGATGGGCAAAGGGAACTCTGTCCATGAGATGCTGGTAAAAAAACTTAATTGCAGTGGTATATTCTCACCCTGATGGAATTGTTTTCATTGGATATTTAATAGAGATTACAAAGACCTTAGATTACTCAGTACTTGACTTTTTTATTGATGGTACGTGTTGTCACTGACTCAGCAGCTTTCTTTGAGACTGTCATGGTGAACTGACAGGATCCACTTACTTTTTAGGTGCAGGTATTTGGACTGTATTCTGGAGAAGAATTTCATGAGACTTTTGACTGTCCCATTAAAGTAAGTATTCAGTAAGTTTTTAATTTCTCAGAGGGTTTTTCTCAACAATGGCAGTAAGAAAACTAATACTTTGAACAGTACCAATCTTGCATGAATTTTGTCAGTAAGCATCCATCAGTCAATGTACCGAATACTACTTGATGCCTCGGAGGGGCATGTGGCTGTGACCTCAGTGTATCCTCCAGCTTTTGGTGGAGTGGGTGAGATGATAAACACACACTGTGTGATTAAAGACTCATATCACACAATCTGTGATTAAAGACTCAGAAAGAGGTAAAAACAGTGTTGAGTCTAAAACTGAGAGGAGTTACTTCTCGCTGTTCTTGTTAGTGATAGCTTCCATAGATGGATTGATGTTTGACTGGGCTTTAATAAATGGATAGGACAGAGGGAGAAAGCTGACTTCCCATGCAGAAGAACAGTATAATATAAATGAAGAGGTTAGAAAGTTCAAATTGTGTTCAGGAAGTGGCAAATAGTTGAGTATAGATAGTGCATAAAATACTGACTTGGCAGGAGAGCTGCATGGGCAGATTGAGGTGGCTTTATATTTAGGCTAAGGAATTTGTCTGGTAGATAAGGACAAATTATGGAATGCCGAAGAGCAAAGAAGTGGCATAAAACTGAGCTAAGCCGAAAGCAAAGTAATATGGCAACTATATCCAGTGTAGATGAGAAGGCTGACAGACTTGAGGCAGAAGACCAGTTTTAGGTAACAGTTACTGTAGTTACAGTGGCTGTTACAGTTGTCAAGGAAGAGGTTGTTCAGTTTTCTCACATGTTTCTTCAAACATTTATTGATCAACAGGTAAAAGAGAGGTAGGATCTGATATAGGTTTTAGATAGCCAGCCCTGCCAGAATGCAGGAGAATGCAAGCAAGAGATTGATTGGGGACAGGAGATGATTCAGAAGGCTAAGCCATACCCTAGACATGGTGTTACAGGAGCTCAATGAAAAGAAAGATAGTGAGTATTCAAGATGGAGTAGCAGTCATGAATTGGAAAAGCCTGGAGGAAGTAGATTTAATAAGCTTTGGTGATGAAATAATAATAATAAATAATGGAATAATAATAATAAATGGAAGAGCTGAGGGTAAATCCAGGTTCTTGCTTTGGTAGTGGTGTGTGGGAAGGCTGTCGGTTGCAATAAGAGATGGTTTGAGGCAGGATGTTGCTAGTTTGGTCTGGAGTCTAGATAACTGTAGAGACATACCATCTGGTGGAAACGTTATTGGAGGTTTTGGGAATGTGAATGTAGAGCTCAGGATGGAGATTGGCCCTAAAAATCACAAACTGGGTAGGTAGCCAGCTGTACTTACAGCTGAATAAGATGAAACCGTTCTGAAAGTTATCATCCAGTTAAAGAGTAAGAAGAAAAAGACTGAGGGTCAGATTCTGGAGCACTAACTTCTTTTGTTTTTAAAGTTTTTTAAATTATTTCTTTTAGTATCACTGTGGTGGTTTATCGTATTTATTTATTTCTTTGGCCCCACAGCATGGGGTTAGTTCTTCAACCAGGGATCAAACCCATGCCTCCTGCATTGGAAGCATGGAGACTTAACCACTGGACCTCCAGAGAAGTCCCCCGTAGCGCTAATTTAAAGATTCGGGCAGTGGGAAGAAAAAAACCAATGAGGGATCTTAGAAGAATTAGGAGGATTGGAGGAGAAGCCAAAGGAGAGAGGGTTTCCAGAAGGAAGGAGCGAGCAGCACAGAAAAGGCAGTGTGGAGCTACCACGACGTAGGGACGGAAGCAGGGCACTTTATTTGGTAATTATGAGCTCCCGGTGACCTTAATGCGGAGGGTCTAGGAGGGGGAGGCTCACTATGTATGAAGGAGTAAATTGGAGATAAAGAAGTAGAAATAAGCAAGGTAGACTCTTCTTTCAAGAAATTTTGTGATGTAGAAGGGAGTTCATTTGGTAGATGGAGAAAGAACCAAAGTCCAGGAGATTTCTGCTGGTCATGTTTTGGTTGTTGGTATTAAAAAACTAAAATCATAGGGGGAAAGATCCAAAATAAGCAAAAGGGAATACTTAGTGGGGCGGCTCTGAGGGATGGGATCCACCATGTAGGGATGAGGGGGGAAACCTTGGATGTGAGTCCTCCAGCCTCTGCTGGTGAGACCAAGCCAAGTGTCACTAAGCTGGGCAGTGAAAACTCTGCAGTCAGGGGCAGTGACGTGATGGCCTTGGTTTCTTCTTGGTGAGGAAGAATTGAGGGATAAGGTTATGTGGTTGGGGGCACAGACATGACTGCCCTCGCAGTTGTGATCTAGGACTGTGCATCATAAGAAAGCTAAGAGGACCCTCAAGAAAGATTTTAAGAACGTGTAACGACAGAATGTATAAATGATTCCGTTGGTATCCAGGATGGATCTGACAAGCGTGGAAGGAAAGAAGGGCTAACCTGGAAGTGAGGAATGGTTAGAGAAATGAGGAGTCACATACTAATAAATGCCCTCAAAATGACAGGGTAGGAAATGGAATCTATCCCGTTGGCAGATGGAGATGTATTCATTAATTAATAAGAATAGAAAATGTCTTTAGTTGAAGATTTGTGAAAGTATAGTTGTGTCAGTTTTTTTAATGTGTAGAAATAATTCTGTACGCTGGTCTGGAAAAACAACACAGTGTGTTAGTTGGTGATTACGTGGGTTTGGGGATAAGAAAATGAGGAGGCAGGGTGTTTGCAGGCTGGCGGCCATGTAAGGGAGCCCCAAAGATGAGCTTATGCTGAGTGCAGCTATCAGCCTTTCAGAAAGCCATTGACAAATGAAATAAATGATGACAAGGTTTGGGGCAGCCTTGGGAGAAACCTTTGTGAGGGGTTGTAGGAGATGGTGGAGAGCAGGTGATAACCAGGGGCCCAGGAACTGACTGACGGTGGAGGTAAAAGGGAAGGACCTGGACTCTGAGCTCCGGAGCTCAGCTTGGTTCTGCAGCGCCGTTGTCTTTCCCACTGATGGAGGCCCGCTCCAGACTGTGAGGCTGCACTGCAGCCCTCGTTCCACTTGGGAGGCATCCTGACAAGGAGATAATCTAGATTTCTTCTATGAAATGTCTTCAGTTACAAACGTTTGTGACATCTTGCTGCCTTGATTACCTTCATTGGCTGCCTCTAAAGAGGTGTGCCCACTCAGAGGGTCCCACTCAACCAGAAACTACAGCTGTTCACTCTCATCTTTTAGCTTTGACCTGACTTTGCAGAAGAGACCCTCTCACACCAGAGCAAAACTCGCTCTCCCTTGGTGCAAAATATTCCTTGAATGGATTACTGCCTACCTAGATACCAGGTTGATTTTTCGGTCATGTTGCCTGTCATATATAAGGGGCTTTCATTCTGTTCTGCAGCCGTGACTCCTAACCAGTGACATGTTGGCCCCCTCTTCCTTGCAGATCGTTGCTGTGCACCCGCATTTCGTGAGATCCAGCTGCAAGCAGTTTGTGACGGGAGGGAAGAAGGTAAATGCTGCGTGTTGATGTCATAGGCAGTCTTGGAGGGGTTCTGTTTGCTCTTTAATTTATCTTTAGTATTTTCAATGTCTGACTCTTCATGTGGAGAAAATTTGAGAAAGCACAGTGTAGTGAAATAGTAAGACCATTGCCTCTTGGGGGAGGTGTGGCCTCAGCACTTGTCAGTGAGATCCCTTTGGAATAGGTGCGCGCAAAAACAGATGTTACTCAAACTGCTAGCCTGTTGAAATATAGCCCTTCCACACACACAAAAAGAGGTAGCATTTAAAAAGTAAGAGCAAGTAAACTAGTGTTTTTTTCCCCACTTGTTGATAATCTCTTGCAAGTCTTGAGAAAGTTTTAGAACAATCATGGCTCTTTTTTTAATTTTATATTTTAATTTATTTTTCTCGGAATATAGTTGCTTGATAATGTCGTGTTAGTTTCTGCTGTACAATGAAGCGAATCAGCTGTTTTGTTGTTGTGTAGTCGCTAAGTCGCGTCCAGCTCTTTTGCAACTGCTTGGACTTTGCATTTACATATATCTGCTCCCTCTCAAGCCTCCCTCTCCCCCACCCCCACCCCACCCCTCTAAGTCAACACCGAGCACTGAGCTGAGCTTGCCATGGCTCTTTTTGAGTGACATGTTCCTAACATATTTCATTATCTTATTTATTTATTATTATTTATTATTTATTATTCATTATCTTATCTATTTAAAACATGAGAAAGTAAAAGAATAGTTTTATACATTGACATGTTTGTGGATATAGCAGATTCTAAAATAAAAGACTCTTTCTGCTTATAGAAGAAGTTAAATTTTTTTTTTCTATTTTTATTCACCAGTGATTTTTTATAATAAAATGTTCCCACTGTCTTAGAACTCTGAACGTTGTTTCCTATCCGGTTTAGGGCTCAGTGGAGAGCAGGCTGTATGTGTTTATTTCTATAGCAAGGTATAGCTACAGAATAGATAGTTCGAAGCTTAGATACCAAATGGTTTTGAATGTTTTGTGGTAGTTATCTGTCCTTTTCACTTGGACTGTTGCTTCACAGAATGAAAGGACTGCATACTAGTTGTTGGCATTTTTCAAGCACGGGTTTTAGCTCCATGTAATGGTTAAGTGGCAGGTCCTTTAGATTCCAACTGCATCTCAAGGAACAAAGCCAAGATTGCACCAGCTCTGATTTCTGTTTGAGAACCAGCTCCTTTCATGCCCTCCCCCAGACTTACTGTTATCCTTAGCCTCTAGCAGCACTAACCTCATATAGAAATGTCTATGGGATTGTGCTTAGTTGCTCAGTCATGTCTGACACTTTGTAACCCCATGCACTGTAGTCCACCAGGCTCCTCTGTCCATGGAATTTTCCAGGCAATAAAACTGGAACAGGTTGGGATTTCCAACTCTGGGGAGTCTTCTCAACCCAGGGATCCAATCCATGTCTCTTATGTCTCCTGAATTGGCAAGTGGATTCTTTACCACTGTGCCACCTGGGAAGCATGTATGGAATTAATCAGTAGGAATTACAGATTGAAGCTAACATTTTTTATTTTAGATCTGCAGCTGACTTACTGCTAGGAAAAAATAGCTACCTTCCTTGTCTTTGTTGATTTCAGGAAAGAGTAGCTTCAAAATTCTTCTTGATAAAGTGTTGATATTTCTTCAGTAAACACTTTTCTAGTTAGAAAATTTAAGTGAGACAGAGAATAAATTCACATAGCTATAATTTAAACCCATGCATTTTTATTTAAAACTCATTAGAGATGAAAAATGCCAAGTCACTAGGTTTTTTGTATGTTTTTTAAGTGGCCTAAACCAACACACTTTCATTATCTCACAGTCAGAAATTTAAGAGTGGCTTTCTTGTACGGTCCAGATTTTGGCCAGGGTTGCACTCATCTGAAGGCTTGACTGGGGTTGGAGATTCTGCTTCTAAACTGTCTGCTGCCTTCTTAATAGCAATCCCTCCTAAAATGTTGATAACTTAAAATATTGATAAATCATTTTGGTTTAAGTATTTTCCAAGTGAGGATGCAGTTTTGAGTTCTAGCTTTCCAATTCCAGAAGTTAGAGACTTTAGAGTTTTTCCATATTTTTTCAAGGTATTGGTATGAAAGAACATATTAGAGATAATATGAATAATGTCCACATGGACTCAAACTTTTATGGTGGGTGTTTCTGTATAGATTTGTGTTCTTAATAATCACCTTGTTGGTATGGTTTAATAATTGCTTTTATACTGTGAAGGGTACATCTCTGATTTGCCAGAGTAGTTTTTGCTACATGAATGTCTTGTCAACTTGCAAGATGCCTAAGTTAACTGTGTCAATAATGTGTTCATCTTTCTACATAGCATTTGACATCTGTAGAAAGGACCAAGTGAATGTAACTCTTTAGGCCAAAACTTCTAGAGTAGTTGTAACTCTTTGGGCCAAAATTTGTTGAACAATTGTATGGACAACAAAGTAGTCCAGAATCCAAGTGCAGGCAAGATCACATGGGAAAAACTTGGGATTGATACCAAGATTACATTGTGATAAGTACTAAAATAAGTAGAATTCACTGAATGCTCAACAGGCAAGAACATCAAAGATTTGGTTCATCTCTTTGGTTATCACTCTCTGCTTGACAGGTTTTTCTGTGTTCAGTGTTCTAAGAGGGAGCTTTCTCTTTTCTCCTATTTTCCTATTCACGTCTCCAAAAATGCATGTGTAGACATTTCTTCCCAAGCACAAAAGATGCTTAATCATGTACATATAAAATAAAAACAGTTCAAGCTATCTGGTGAAAAACTTGATACTGTTGAGTTAGAATTTCTGGTTTAAAATAGTTTAAAAGAAACACACACCAAAGGGTTAGTATGTTGTATAAAGGGCTTAGGTTATTGAGCTTGATGAAAGTATATATGTGATATTCTGAAGTGAAGAATCATAGGATTTCACATGTCAGTGTAAGTGATATTGTCATGTCTTTTTATTTTAATAGCTTTATTGATATATAATTTGCATGTCATAAAGTTCACCAGTTTAAAGAGTACAATTCAAGAACTTTCCTGGCAGTCCAGTGGATAAGACTCTGCGCTTCCACTGCAGGGGCTACAGGTTCCATCCCCGGTTGGGGAACTAAGATCCTATATGCTGTGTGGCACAGCCAAAAAATAAAAAATGTACAACTCATTGGTTTTAATATGTATACAGAATTGTGCAACCATTACCATAATCCAATTTTAGAGCATTTTATCATCCCAGTAATGAAACCTTGTCCCCATTAACAGTCGCTCCCTAACCCCTTTTCCCTGCTTCCTAGCCCCAAGGAACTGCTAGCCTATTTCAATTCTTTATAAATTTGCCTATTTGGATATTTCATGTAAATTCTGGATGGCTTCCCTGGAGGCTTATGTGGTAAGGAGTCTTCCTGCAATGCAGGAGACCTGGGTTTGATCCCTGGATTGGGAAGATCCCCTGGAGAAGGAAATGGTAACCCACTTCAGTATTCTTGCCTGGAGAATTCCATGGACAGAAGAGCCTGGCAGCCTATAGTGCATGGGGTCACAAATTCTGGATATTTCTTGTAAATTCTGGATATTTCATGTAAATTCTGAATATTTCATGAAAATGGAATCATGAGTACATGCCCTTGTGTCTGATTTCTTTCATTAATTTTCTAGGTACATCCATGTTGTAGCATGTATCAGTATTTCATTCCTTTTTATGGCCAAATTATCTTTCATCATATGGGTATATCATATTTTATTTAGCTGTTTATCAGTTGATGGACATTTGGGTTGTTACTGTGTTTTGACTGTTGCACGTAATGGTACTGTGAACATTCATGTACAACTCTTTTATGGGGCCATGTGTTTTAATGCCTCTTGGGTGTAGGATTGTTGGATCATCTAGTAACTCAGTGTAGAACACTGAAGAACTGTCCAGTCATTTTCCAAAGTGATTGCACCATTTACATTCTCACTAGCAGTATGTAAAGGTTTCACTTTCTCCACATTCTCACCCTCACTCATTTGTAGCTGTCTTTTTGATTATAGGCATCTGGTGTGTGGAAAGTGGTGATATCTCCTTGTTTTGATTTACATTTCCCTAATGACTAAGGTTGTTGAGCATCTTTAGTGCTTGTTGGCCATTTGTCTATCTTCTTTGGAGAAATGCCTATTCAGATTCTTTGTCCATTTTTCCATTGGGCTATTTGTCTTTTTTCTTTTTTTTTTGCACAATTGTAAAATTATTTTTTTATATATTCTGGATTCACATCTCTTGCCAGTATGTTATTTGTAAATATTTGCAAATATTTTCTCCCAGTCTTTGAGTTGTCTTTTCACTTTATTGCTGGTGTCATTTGAGATACAGAAGTTTTTAATTTTGCTGAAGTGCCATTTATCTGTTTTTGTGTTGAATTTTTGTTTTCTGTGTGTGTGTGTGTGTATGTGTTTTGATGCTTGTGCTTTTGGTATTGTATCTATGAAATCATTGCCAAATCTAAGGTCATTAAGATTTATGCTTGTGTTTTCTTCAAAGAGTTTTATAGTGTTAACTTTTAAATTTAGCTCTGGAATCTACCTTGAGTTGATTTTTGTGTATGGTGTAAGGTAGGGGTCTGAATTCATTCTTTTGCATATGGATATCCAGTTGTCCCAGCCCTCTTTGTTGCAAAGACTGTCCCTTTGCCATTGTCTTGGGCCCTTTGTCAAAAATCAGTTAGCCATAAATGTTCGAGTTTCAGTTCTGTTGATTTGTGTATCTGTCCTTGTGCCAGTACCATTTTTAGTTTTTAGAACCACTGATTACTTACGGGATGACATACAAATTAACTCCTTTTAAAACATTTTGATTTTGAGTTCTTTACCTTTAAAAAGCCATTTTTATACCATCATTCAAAATTCTGCAAATAACAAATGCTGGAAGGGCTGTGGGAAAAAGTTGAACCCTCCTACCCTAATGGTGACAATGCAAATTGGTGCAGCCACTATGGAGAATAATATGTCTGTTCCTTAAA